TGTTTCATTTTTTGTGTGCCATGGACACAGAATTGCAGGTATGGCAATTTTTGGAAGGTTACTTTAAGCACTGGACTTTCCCAAAGCAGTGGAAAAGCCAGCATGTGGGCACATATTTTTCCAAGAAAAAAATGGTTAGCCACAAAAACAACCAAAAATTTTCTTGCCAAGCTTCAGAGCTGCTAGCAATCTTTCCAGTGGTTCGACATTTTGTCCATGCTGTGTGTATGCCAAGGGGTCTTTGCTTGCCAGCTAGCCAAGCATTCCTTGCAATGGCAGCAGTCATTGACCAAGTTCATGATGGAAACCAAGCTGGTGTCATCAGCAGAAATACTCTGCTGCCAGCCATAGAGACATCCATAGAAGGTTTCCACACAGCATTCCCTGCCATACCTTTGATAAAAAAATGGCATTGGCAACTGCACTTGCCAGATGCCCATGCCAGATTTGGAAAATTACCAGGTTGCTTTGCCAATGAGAGAAAGCACAAGCCCATTGGTGCCATGGCAACTTTGCTGCACAACCAGAAAAATGTTGAAAAAAACTTGCTGGAGCAGGTTCTGGCACAAGAAATGTGCACCTTGGACACACCAGATCTGTTCCAAGATGGTGTGTTCCTAGTGAACCCAATAAAAGCTTCCAAGAAGACATTGCAGACTCTCTCCAGCATGCTTGGTGAAGCCATGCCCCATGCTCTCACTAGCCAGCAGGCAAGTGTGAACCACACTGCTTGCCACAAAGGTGATGTTGTTATTTACCAAGCAGGCAGCACTCTTGGCATTGCAGAGGTGCAACTCCATTTGCTTTTGAATGGTGTAGTGACCACTCTGGTCCAGCCTTGGCAAGTGAAAGAATGGTTTCCAAACCAGCAATATGCATTGTGTACCATCGACACCGACCCAGGATGTGTCACCACTGCCAGCATCTTGACAGCTGTAATTTGCCATAAAGGTCATCCAGAAGCCAAAGTGCTTCTGCCATATCCCATTTGCATCAAACTATTGGCTTAAACCATCAAACTATTGGCTTAAACATGTACCCAAAACAATTACCCAGCTGCTGCCAATTTTGGCATTGCATCATCAGCTTGGTTTAGCACATTGGCCCCACATGGCAATTAGCATTTGACATGTTGCCTGATGTGGCATTGCATCATACAAGTGACAGGTCTTATGCTGTTTTTTAGTTTTTTAGTTGGGAGGCTATTGGAACATTTTGTTTTTGGAAGGCATTCTTTTGCAGCAATTGGTGTGATGTGCTGCATGTGTTGCTTACTCTTACTTTCCTTTTGCTACAAAATGCGGATTCATTCTTTTTTGAATAAACAGCTTGATTTCAAATGATTCTTGGTACTTATTTGGTTTCATTCTTTGTTACACAATGTTCATATTGAATTACATACTTTCTTTTTGAACATACCATGACATTCATCCTGGACAATTGTCCCATATATATGGCTCAATGTTTCTCTTTGAAAATTAAAGCTTTGGTAGCCTCTTGATGCCAGCAAACCTTTTTTTCCTTGAAGTGGAAAGCGTTTTTTCTTACATTCAAAACAACACAAAAACAGAGTTAGCAAGAGTTATAACTAGTTAGCTAACTCAACATAACTCTACATAATTAACATAACTCTACATAACTAGTTATAAAAAACGGGACTATGTAAGTGGAGCCTCAAAACGAGCGTTTCGTGCGAGACCTCCTCAAATTTTCATAGTTTGTAGCTCCAAAATCGATGTTTTCCTATACGAGTTTATTCATGAAGCTCAATTTTTTTTTGCCTCAAAATCGATGTTTCGTGCGAGGCTTCCGTCAATTTTCATCCGCCTTCCACGGAATTTGCCTGACGCAGCCCCGACAATGCGATTCGCAAAAAACACGCAACACGACACGTCTGAAGTGCTGCGCCTGCCACGCGACATGACAACGGAGGTCTCCAAAGTGTTGCGCCTGCCACGAAAACTGCAATGCATCTTCTGAAAACGTCGCGAAAGTATTGCGCCTGCCACACAAAAAACTTTCGACACGTTAAGAAACACGTCTGAATGTCACGAAGTGCCACGCCTGCCACGCAAAACGAAGCAACGCGACGCTGGAAACCTGCAAAAGTGACTTCTTTCGACGGCGGCATCCATACATGATCTTCTCACAATTCTGCTTTCGGGTTTGCATCAGGAAAGGGTTAACAGCTATCGGCTCAGGGCTCCCTGGCTCTTGCAACTGGCATGGAGCCACTGCTGCAGAACTTGCCATAGGCACGGCCATACGGGCCTCGCCGGAACGGTTGCGGACAGTTGCAAACGGTTGCGAACGGTTGCGCAACGTCGAGCGAACACAGCCTCAACCCCCAGACCCCCAGAGTGATACGGGAACCCTTGCTACGCATCCGGGAAAAAAACATGATTATCCCATGAATATGCCATTCACCACTATCAAACAAATTGCCACGTTTGTTGATTCCCCTATCAAGCCGAGCTGAGCAGCAAGGGCCAAATGATCGAGTGCCCGCCCGAGAGATGAACGGCATCCGCCAAACGAAGGTCTTGCACTTGCTGCAGCATCACTTCGCGATTCCTTGAGAGGAACAAAATATTAAAAAAAACGCCTGGGTCGGTGTGTTTGGGAAGGCTGCAGCAGGTTGGATGGTCCATCATAGATCCAACCATATCTGATATGGTGTTCAGGGCCGTCATAAAAAATAGGAGAAATCCCAATTCCATCAAATGGTTAATCGCCGTATTCCCCATGAGAAATTGCCGTTTGGGGCGTATGCCCCATTTGCTGACAGACCCAAAGGGTGTTACATAGACTGTTCAAGCACCAGAAATCGCCACAAATCTTAGAGGTATTGAGAATTCAAAACCGAAGATGATTTCTTGCCGGTTTGGCGGTTTCAACCCAGCAGTTAAAATCGTCCTATCTTGACCGACTGGAAATGGAACTATTATCATAATCATACATACATAGTTGAAACATCTTGAAACTACCAATATATCATCAGTCAGTTCTGGACCTAACCCTCTGGTAAACTAACATAGCTATTGAAAATTGCCATTTATAGTGGATTTACCCATATAAAATGGTGATTTTCCATAGTTAACGTTTACCAGAGGGTAACCCTCTAACCCTGGATATCAGTTCTGGAGCATCCCTCCCCTTGCAGTGCCAAGGCGCACACGATCCGCTTGTCCAACATCATTGGGACGCAAGCAGCAGACCAACCAGGCTTTGGCCTTGGAAGCTGGTCGTCCCTGCAATAGGGTGAGTACCTGGGGATATAATAATATAATAGGATATACTAGGGGTATAGCCAGATATAATAGGGGCATAGCCAGATTTTTTATTAGGGTATAGCCAGATATAATAGAGGTATAGCCAGATTTTTGATAGGGGTATAGCCAGATATAATAGGGGTATAGCAAGATTTTTGATAGGAGTATAGCCAGATATAATAGGGGTATAGCCAGATTTTTGATTAGGGTATAGCCAGATATAATAGGGGTATAGCCAGATTTTTGATTAGGATATAGCCAGATATAATAGGGGTATAGCCAGATTTTTAATAGGGGTATAGCCAGATATAATAGGGGTATAGCCAGATATTTGATTAGGGGTATAGCCAGATATAATAGGGGTATAGCCAGATTTTTAATAGGGGTATAGCCAGATATAATAGGGGTATAGCCAGATTTTTGATTAGGGTATAGCCAGATATAATAGGGGTATAGCCAGATTTTTAATAGGGGTATAGCCAGATATAATAGGGGTATAGCCAGATTTTTGATCTGGGTATAGCCAGATATAATAGGGGTATAGCCAGATTTTTGATAGAGGTATAGCCAGATATAATAGGGGTATAGCCAGATTTTTGATCTGGGTATAGCCAGATATAATAGGATATAATGAATATTGATGATACAAAAAAGATCAAAAAAGGTGGTGAACTCGCCGTTTCCATCGTGTAATCGCGGCTCCACCTCAGTAAATCCACCAGGCAGGGAGCATCATACGTGGATTTGACCAGCAAGACTTTTGGGTACCAACTGATCCCAAAAAAATGGATATGATATAACCAAAATTAGAAGAACATCAGGATTAAATCAAACAAGTTGTGGGATATAACCAGCAAGATTGGGGTTGAATCAGCAAGTCATTGAACTGCCTGGTTGTCACGGAGTCGCAAGTGGCTATGTCTTCTTTAGCAACAAGTTTCAATGAGGCCTACGATATACCAAATGTACCATATCCACACCTGTCATAGTGTGAGCTGTAATTTGTCTTGAATCGATTATGGAAAAATTATATAGCGCCTCTGGTAATCAAACATGGCAATAATCCCGCATGGGATGATTGTCCCATTCGCCATTCGCCCATTAAAAAGAGGGTTTCCCCACCCAGCCCGCCTCACCCTGAAGACTGTGATCCAAAGCCTCCAGGCCCTAGCACGGCGCGAAGCTCGCGCTTCGGAGCTCGAGAAGCTTGGGGGAATTTGATGTAGAAAACCCATGGGGGAATTCCAGGTCGATTTCACCAACAAAAGGATTCAACATGATTCAACTATGTTGAATCATGTTCAAGTATAGCGAAGAATGTCGTCAAATATGTTATTGATATATATATATATACATATATATGTCATATTATATTATATATATATATATATTTATGTATTGAAATATCTGGCCGTGGCTGGAAAAAGACGGCTGGATCACCGTTGGAAGCCTTGATCCAGACCAAACATATCTTGGGAGGCTCCCAGGCATCCTTGGGTTTCGTCATACCCACGGTGGGAACCTCAGCCAAATCCATACAAACCCCATTTTTAGGGAAGTTGGAAGTCCAATTTTGGAGTGTACAAAGCTCATTACGTTCGAGCAAATTCATAAAACACTTCTATTTCGGTTCATCAAAACCATTCGAAACATTTTTGTTGCTATCAAATTACTTTACTTCGTGTGATCCCCACCATGACATTTATACATGTTCTTACTGGCACATCTTCTGGCATTCTATCTGACATATCTTCTGACATTCTATTTGGCATTCTATCTGACATATCTTCTGACATTCTATTTGGCATTCTATCTGACATATCTTCTGACATTCTATTTGGCATTCTATCTAGCATATCTTCTGGCATTCTATCTTCTGGCATTCTATCTGGCAAATCTTCTGGCATTCTATCTGGCATATCTTCTGGCATTCTATCTGACATATCTTCTGGCATTCTATCTGGCATTCTATCTGGCATATCTTCTGGCATATATTCTGACATATCTTCTGGCATTCTCTCTGGCATTCTATCTGGCATTCTATCTGGCATATCTTCTGAAATATCTTCTGGCATATCTATCTGGCATATCTTCTGGCATATTTTCTGGCATTCTACCTGGCAAATCTTCTGGCACTCTATCTGACATTTTATCTTCCTACATGAGGTCCGGCAGGGAACACTGGGCGCGGATGGTCGTGGTTGAGGTCCGGCAGGGAACACTGGGCGCGGATGGTCGTGGTTGAGGTCCGGCAGGGAACAATGGGCGTGGATGGTCGTGGTTGAGGTCCGGCAGGGAACACTGGGCGTGGATGGTCGTGGTTGAGGTCCGGCAGGGAACACTGGGCGGTGATGGTCGTGGTTGAGGTCCGGCAGGGCACACTGGGCGTGGATGGTCGTGGTTGAGGTCCGGCAGGGAGCAGGAGGAGAGGAGACGAGGAGAGGAGAGGAGAAGAGAGGAGAGGAGGAGGAGGAGGACGAGGAGGATGAGGAGGACGACGAGGAGGAAGCAACTGACATAAAATCTAACAACCCTCACCTGGCAGGTGGGGAAAAAGATTTCCATGTTCGTATTTTTTGTTAGAGATCAAATCATCGAACATCAGGTTCAAATCCCAGCTCTTTGTGTTTTGTTGGGCAACACATCATTAAACACCATTAAGCAAACACCAGGCTCAAATCCCAACTCTTGGTGTCTTGTTGCATACCAAGTCATTGAACATCCATTAAACATCCATCAAAATCCATGGCTATATTTAAATCATCTAAAAAAAACTGTATTTTGTTGGACAAAATCGCCATGCTGGGTTGGCGAAATCCCCCATTTTTCCCGATTGAAATCCACCCGCCCCAAAATCGTCCTCCTGCGCCGCATCAGTGCCCGAGGATGGGGGTTTTGACAAGGCCACACTGCGGCAAAGTTTGCCTTGGAAACCGCACGGAACGTTCCCCCAAAAAAATGGTGAAACAAGGCGATTTGACCATGAAAAATGGCGATTTAACCATGATTTAACGATCAACAGATCAAGAGATCAGCAATTTCACCAGGCAAAAGGGTCATTTGAAGAACAAACGATGGGGGAAAATCCTTGGATTTAAGCAACGAAACTTGTGCATACTTTGGGATCAACCAGCCATGAGATGACCACTATCATGGTTGCTTAAGCGTCCTTGTAGAATGGTTACTTGATGGCTCGATGGTGATGCTACAGGAATGTTAAGCGTTGACAGATTGGAACATATTGGGACCTCTAGCTCATCTATTTATAATGCTTGTTCATTTGGATTTAACTGGCTGTATGGGAATATAATGGCATGGACTGAGGATATGATGAGAATACCATGCAATACATATATGTCACCAAAAATGCGGGATACTTCATGAGATATAGTAGGGATATCCATGAATTTGGGAGTTTAGGATATTAGGGGATTTTGGGGCGGTAAATTGAGCAAACGCGAGGTAAAATGCACCCACGACAAAAGGACCCTGAAAATTGTGGATATCAGCATTTGTCCAACCACGAGGTATACCCCAGAATTGCCATTACAATAAGAATCATTTTGATAAGCAGATAAGCATCGGAAAAACAACAACATTTGGGGTACCTTACCTTGAAACAGACCCATATTTGACCAAGCACATTGAGACCTTTGTTCAATCAGCAAAGAAATGGATCGTATGGACACTTGAGCCGGGATCAATACACTGCAACAGTTCTGGATTCTGTGCAGGGGTAGCTCACCCTGGTTCATTGGCTGGCTTACAAACACTAGGATTTCGCTTGCGCGAGGTCCTTATTGAGGGGGTTTTGGACGTGGCTCATCAAAGAACGGCAAATTCTACCCTTTGCCAGTTGGTTTAACTCAGACCCAGATCTTCTGGTTCTTTCTCCCGTGATGTTGTCCCGTGGAATGTCCCACAATGTGGGCACCCCCAGTAAAAAGTTGCTTATGACCCCAAATGACCCCAATACTATAGCTCTAATTACCATGACCCGTAGCAAAATTGGACTTCTAACCCCACCCAACTTGGCTATCTATGGGGGGCCCACATCCATCTTCGATCTCTAGGTGAAACCCATGGATCCGAGCGGCACGAGGATTGTCCCAGAACTTGACACATCTCTGAGGACAACTTGTTGCCACTCGCGGCGGTCACAAAACCTGGGTGTTTTTTTCGCGTGGAAAAACATGGCTGGCACAAGCTCATAGAGTTTGTTGACAAAGTCATGTTCAACACCCCAAGCACATGATATTCATGATACGAGTACTCTGTATATATATATATATATATGATCGAGAGACCTTTAGGTACCATTTTGTTCCGGTTAATTCTGATAATTTTTAGAGCCTTTTGGATAATTGAGAGGATTTGAAGAATTAAATGATTTAATCCTTTTAATCCTTTTAATCCTCCAGAGCCTTTTGGGGGATTAAAAGGATTAAAAGGACTAAATGATTTAATCCGTTTAATCCTTTTAATCCTCCAGAGCTTTTTGGAGGATTAAAAGGATTAAAAGGATTAGATGATTTAATCCTTTTAATCCTTTTAATCCTCCAGAGCCTTTTGGAGGATTAAAAGGATTAAAAGGATTAAATGATTTAATCCTTTTAATCCTTTTAATCCTCCAGAGTCCTTTGGGGGATTAAAAAGATTAAAAGGATTAAATGATTTAATCCTTTTAATCCTTTTAATCCTCCAGAGTCCTTTGGGGGATTAAAAAGATTAAAAGGATTAAATGATTTAATCCTTTTAATCCTTTTAATCCTTTTAATCCTCCAGGGGGTCCGGAATTCCCGGCCCAAGCCCTTGAGAAATATATTTAAATCCATTTAATCCTTTTAATCCTCCAGAGCCTTTTGGGTGATTAAAAGGATTAAAAGGATTAAATGATTTAATCCTTTTAATCCTTTTAATCCTCCAGAGCCTTTTGGAGGATTAAAAGGATTAAAAGGATTTAAAGAATTAAATTGCTGGGCTTTTCTTGGGATTCTGGGAGGTCTGGAGGATTAAAAGGATTAAAAGGATTAAAAGGATTAAAATGATTAAAAGGATTAAATCATTTAATCCTTTTAATCCTCCAGAGCCTTTTGGAGGATTAAAAGGATTACAAGGATTAAATGATTTAATCCTTTTAATCCTTTTAATCCTCCAGAGTCCTTTGGGGGATTAAAAGGATTAAAAGGATTAAATGATTTAATCCTTTTAATCCTTTTAATCCTTTTAATCCTTCAGGGGGTCCGGAATTCCCGGCCCAAGCCCTTGAGAAATATATTTAAATCCATTTAATCCTTTTAATCCTCCAGAGCCTTTTGGGGGATTAAAAGGATTAACAGGATTAAATGATTTAATCCTTTTGATCCTTTTAATCCTCCAGAGCCTTTTGGAGGATTAAAAGGATTAAAAGGATTTAAAGAATTAAATTGCTGGGCTTTTCTTGGGATTCTGGGAGGTCTGGAGGATTAAAAGGATTAAAAGGATTAAAAGGATTAAATGATTTAATCCTTTTAATCCTTTTAATCCTCCAGAGTCCTTTGGGGGATTAAACGGATTAAATGATTTAATCCTTTTAATCCTTTTAATCCTTTTAATCCTCCAGGGGGTCCGGAATTCCCGGCCCAAGCCCTTGAGAAATATATTTAAATCCATTTAATCCTTTTAATCCTCCAGAGCCTTTTGGGGGATTAAAAGGATTAAAAGGATTAAATGATTTAATCCTTTTAATCCTCCAGAGCCTTTTGGAGGATTAAAAGGATTAAAAGGATTAAATGATTTATTCTTTTTAATCCTTTTAATCCTTTTAATCCTTCAGGGGGTCCGGAATTCCCGGCCCAAGCCCTTGAGAAATATATTTAAATCCATTTAATCCTTTTAATCCTCCAGAGCCTTTTGGAGGATCAAAAGGATTAAAAGGATTTAAAGAATTAAATTGCTGGGCTTTTCTTGGGATTCTGGGAGGTCTGGAGGATTAAAAGGATTAAAAGGATTAAAAGGATTAAACGGATTAAATCATTTAATCCTTTTAATCCTCCAGAGCCTTTTGGGGGATTAAAAAGATTAAAAGGATTAAATGATTTAATCCTTTTAATCCTTTTAATCCTCCAGAGCCTTTTGGAGGATTAAAAGGATTAAAAGGATTAAATGATTTAATCCTTTTAATCCTGCAGAGTCCTTTGGGGGATTAAAAGGATTAAAAGGATTAAATGATTTAATCCTTTTAATCCTTTTAATCCTTTTAATCCTCCAGGGGGTCCGGAATTCCGGCCCAAGCCCTTGAGAAATATATTTAAATCCATTTAATCCTTTTAATCCTCCAGAGCCTTTTGGAGGATCAAAAGGATTAAAAGGATTTAAAGAATTAAATTGCTGGGCTTTTCTTGGGATTCTGGGAGGTCTGGAGGATTAAAAGGATTAAATGGTTTAATCCGTTTAATCCTTTTAATCCTCCAGAGCCCTTTAGGGGATTAAAAGGATTAGAAGGGTTAAATGATTTAATCCTTTTAATCCTTTTAATCCTTTTAATCCTTTTAATCCTTTTAATCCTTTTAATCGTCCAGGGGGTCCGGAATTCCCGGTCCAAAAGGATTAAAAGGATTTAAAGAATTAAATTGCTGGGCTTTTCTTGGGATTCTGGGAGGTCTGGAGGATTAAAAGGATCAAAAGGATTAAACGGTTTAAAAGGATTAAATGATTTGATCCTTTTAATCCTTTTAATCCTCCAGAGCCTTTTGGTAGGTTCAACAGGGTTCCGGATAAAGTTCCGGGAGGCTTTGGTGCAGAGCCAGGTCAGGCTCAACAGGGCTCCGGGGTTCCGGAGAAGGTCCCGGGAGGCTTTGGAGCAGAGCCAGGTTAGGTTCAACAGGGTTCTGGTGAAGGTTCCGGAGAAGGTTCCGGGAGGCTTTGGTGCAGAGCCAGGTCAGGTTCAACAGGGTTCCGGAGAAGGTCTGGGAGGCTTTGGTGCAGAGCCAGGTCAAGTTCAACAGGATTTGTGGCCATTTAACTCACGGAAACCGAGCTGAAGTGTTTCCAGCGCTTGGCTTGGCAGCAGGCTTCAGAAAGATTAGTAAACATAAAACGTTGCGGCTGTTGGGCATACCACCGAAGCTTGTTTTCCAAAGACATTTGCTGTGGATGGAAATTGCATGTCCCTTCAAAGTTGCAAGAATGCAGGGGTGAGGCATGTCACCCTGCCTTTGGCAGCATTGTAAGTGACAGCACACGAGATTTCTTGTAAAGAAGCAACACCCGGATGTTTGTTTGAAATTTCCAGGCACAAATATTTTTCGACAAGGGCCACATCACCACATGGGACTTTCAAAAAGCAATGCTCTTGAGCTGCATTGACAGCTGGTGAGCCTCCATCCACATTGTGCAAACAGACAACATCACCAGAAGTAATTGTTGCCCCAGAAAAAAGTTTACAACGAGAGCTCTGCATGCAAGGCATTCCCACAGGAACCACGCCAGCATTGCATAGGAATGCCGTCATCTTCTTTGTGGGGCCCCCTTTGCATTTTGTAGGCAGGTGCCTTCTCTAAACAGTCTTGACTCTTCACCCAATGTATAGATGTGCCCTGCAATGACAGACTTCCTCAGAGAAGTTTCCCAATAGGTAGTGTTGCACAAGACATTCCCATGTTTTCTAGTGCCTTTGTGCTTCCCTTCCATGGTCCAGCATGCAGGTAATTGGCCATGCCTCTGGAGACTTTGACTATAATATGAAGTGACCAGTGCATCTTTGGCTCGAATTCTTCCGACCAGTCAGCTGCAACAGTTGCCTCCAATGCTGCTTCAACAAATGAAAGCAATTGCTTGTAGTCAGGCTTTTCCAAAGCAGGGATGGATAGGCGATAGTCCAAAACTTTGCACCAAGCCAAAGAGCAAGTTGACCCCAGAAGACAAATGCCATTAGGCAAGCAACAAATTTGGACATAGTGTGCCAGCACCTGGTACAGACCCAGAATCTCTGAGGATGCATCTGAACTTCCCAGCTTTTTTGTGGCCTTCCACTGCTTTGGGCAGAAATAGCCTTTTCAAATTGCATTTGTGAATGGCAGGCTGGGCCCAAAGTTGCACAAAGCCATGTGCCTTCCAAATCTCAGCCACACCACTGGAAGCAAGCGGTTGGATCCACAAAAACAAATACCTAGTTCAGCACACCATTTGGGCAGAGCCCATGCATATAATCATGCATGTATTGGGTGATTGGTCTCAGAAGGTTCTGGGACTTCAGCTTGTCACTCAGCAAGAGTGAATGCTGGGAATAATCAACCCCAGAAGCCTGGCTCCACCTTCTTAACTCGGTTTTGTTGCACTCTTGCATCCTTGCCCACGAGGACAGGATTTCTTGGTCTGTTGCAACATCCAACAGAGAGTTTCAGTCTTTTAAGACCTCCCTGTAAAAGTACCTCAGAATGAGGATGAGCATATTTGTTGTCAAACATGTGCTCCAGGATCAACCTGAAACATTGGCCAATGCTGGCTGCCAGCTGTGAGACTTGCTCACTCCTCTTCCCGAGCAATGTCAACCAACTTTCAGAATTTGACAGCGTGGCCCCAAACTGGGCAGATGAACAGTAAATTGCCCATGTATTCCTAGAATTCCCTGCCAATTGGTTGCCAGGGTGCAGTTCATCTACATAAAGAATGCAAGACCAAGGGTTGTTGAAGGAACCAGGGTTGTTGTCATGTACCTTGTCAAAATAATCCGCAAAGCAGCCACCAGCTGCATAAGCACCAGCCAAATAGTTAAAGATGTTGGCAAATGCCAATTCCACAGGGTCCTCTCCCAAAATCATAGCTGAAGGCCAGCAATGACCTGCTCAACAAACTCTCTGATTTGTTTCCTTTTGTGACTAGCAGGAATGCCTTCCTGGGCTGCCAAAGTCAATATTGCTTCCAGGGCTGACTGGCTGCAAAATGGGATTCTCTGTTTAAAACTTTGCAATTTTGGAAAGTCTGGCATGGCTGGCTGGAAGCATTTCTTTGCAGAAAGGTGATAAAAGTAATCTTGGACAATGTTGGAGTATGACTGTGTGAAAGGCAAAAACTAGTGTTCCATGGCCTGCTGCGGAACCTGCTGCTAACATGGCCTCCAAATATGTCATTTGCAGATTTGGCACACATTGCCTTGGGCCAGGCCTTGCTTCATGCAGTAGCCTTG